ATATAGAACTGGTCGTTACACCGATCTTCGTGGTACACCGGTTATTACTCTTCTCCATTATGACACCTTTGCTTTCTCCCCATAAGATACTCTATGGCCATCCAGAGTATGTTCCTTGTTATTCCCGCCAGCTTCTCAAGTCTTTGCCCCAGTCTCATGTGGAGTATAGTATCAAATACCTTCTTGCAGCGTAAGAAAATACAACCCACCCAACCATCTCTCTCCTGCCTCACTTCCGTTACTTTGTTGCAGAGTTCCAAAAGGTTGGTAAAACAAGACTTGCCATCTCTAAACCCATGTTGGTCATTGTTTATCAAAACACTTCTCTCCAAGTGCTCTACTACTCTCCTGACTGTCTTCTCCATTACCTTGCATGGTATACAGGTCAGCCAAACTGGTCTGTAGTTCAGTGCCTCCTGCCTATCTCCTTCCTTAAATATAAATAATACTTCACTGCCTTCTAGATCTCTGGCAACTGTCCTGTGTTCGTTGACTTCTTGTGTGTGCGTGTGTGTGTGTGTGTGTACTCACGTATTTGTGGTTGCAAGGGTCGATTCATAGTTCCTGGCCCCGCCTTTTCGCTGGTCCGCTGTTCTTGCTACAAGAGCTTTATCATACCTCTTCTTAACGCTATGTATAGATCCTTCCTCTATTACATCATTCTCCAGATTGTTCCACTTCTTAACAATTCCATGACTGAAGAAATACTTTCTAATATCTCTGTGACTCATCTGAGTCTTTTAACTTCCAGCTGTGACCCCTTGTTGCTGTGTCTCATCTCTGAAACATTCTGTCCCTATTCACCTCGTTAGCTCCTCTCAGTATTTTATATATCGTTATCATGTCTCCCTTATCCCTCCTGTCCTCTAGTGTCGTCAGGTTGATTTCCCTTAACCTTCTCTGTCTACCTTTCTAGTCGGTGGTTCGGTCTCTTGTGTAGTACAGCGTCTAATGCATTTATGCAATCAAAGAATATGCAGTCAACACACCCTGCTTAATGTCACCCTCTCATGAAAAGTCCTCCCAAGGGAGGACTTTTCATGAGAGGGTGATATGAAAAGATATGAAAAGTCCTCCCAAGGGAGGACTTTTCATATCTAAACTCGTGTTGGTTGTCTTTTATGATTTCTCCAGTGTGCCGGTGCTCCCCCGCTCTCCTCACCATCTTGTCTATTACCCTGGACATTATACGCTTAGCAATACAGGTCTATAGATTAGCACGTCTTGTCTATCATCTCCTCTGGATATTGGTATCATATTCGCTCTTCTGCATATCTGTGGCAACTGCCATTTAACCAATGACATGTTGAAGATTTTAGCAAGTAGTGCACATAATGTTGATAAACGTCTTGTATAACGTATTAAAGCATAACTTGTTGAAGCCTCCTGAAAGTTGTCTTGAGGTTGGCCAGCCACATACACTGCAAATGATGATCTTCACTGCTGGACCTTTCTTTGTGTTGATTTTTGTAATGCTGTCTCTCCTCTCAACCTGTGTGCACTTTCCTCCCGTTGTAAGATTGATATAAAGATGCTTGAAAATTAAGAAATGGTTCACGGTCCAGGAAATTACAATTATCTTTTCCTTCCTTAAATCAGCCACCTGGATACCACAATTACTCCCCATTCCCCAGGCAGGCACTGTAAGGGTTGACAGGATGAGCGCGTCACTCTGACTATAATAATAATAATAAAGAGAAGAAGGTATGTTCACCTGTAATCTGTGCCGTCAGTAGACACGTATGACTGGATTGCCTGAGGCGCATCATTTATGTAAATGAGTGAGAGTAGTGGTCCAAGTATTGATCCTTTGTGTACCCTACGTTTTACTCTCTCCCAGTCTGATGCCTCTACTCACACAATCATTCGTTTCCTTTTCTCACGGAATGAACTTGCTGTGAAAGCAGTGCTTGTTTCTCACATTTAACGGACGTAGGATCGAGTCTGCACTTCTTGTGCTAAATGATCCACAAGCTTTGTATTATAATAATTCTCTTCTTCAGGTATTCTTAATTCTCTAGAAAAAATTTCCCGTGAGTGTTGTTGCAGTTTGTGCATCATTCGCTGGCTGGGGACATTGTTGCTTTCTTCAGTCCTGGAACACGCACTCTACCCATTCTTGTTTTAGTTCTTAGATTACTGTAAATTATTATTTCTATATTCATATTGAAGTGCTCAACCCAATGGGAGGTAATCAGGTTCGATCAGAGGAAGGGGAGGAGAGTTCCAGTTCCTCAGATCAGAAATCCTTCACTGACGTCAACGCACCCAACAAGAAGGAAATGTGTTGTAAAACTCTAGGAGCTTTGAAAGTCCCCATTCACCTTCCCTGGAATCATGATGGTCGTCTTGGTTACCATGAGTCTAGGCATCTCTCTGCTACATAACAATTTGGTAAAGATCCTTAATAGGCTGACGGCGTGTGTGTGCGCCATTTCTCAGTAGTCTTGGCAATATATTAGGTTATATCCAGTTGCTTTACTATCTCCAACACTGCTTCTTTCTTGTGCTCATTTACTCTCCCGTCTGAGCCATGCCGTCTCCATTATTGTTTTATATTACCATAAATCTTCTGTTAAGTTTATTTCATGCTTCTCTGTTACTTCGTGCGTATTCTTCCTTCTTCAGTCTTAATATTCAATGTTTCACAGTCATCTTCCTTCTTTGAGTCTGGTTGCAGCCTTTGATGACACTCATATACTCTACTTAGGTTGTGACTTGATAAAGTCCATTGTGTGGGCCTAACCTAGTCAATAAAAAATCGCATTATACTGCAATTGTCTAGTTTTCTATCGTTTTCAAACAATCTCTGAGCCACGGACGGGGACGACTAAGGGAGATCAAGTTTCTCAACATTTTTACTTTTTTAATTAATGGCTAATTTTCAATGTATTATATTGACTAGTGACCACGAGAGTGTGATAGTTTGAGAAATCCCACAGTCATACCCAAACTTATGTTGTTTAAGATGATATCTCTGACTATTTTAGTATCTTATAATTTTTAAGCTCCCCCCCAGATTGAAATCCTGGCTACGCTACCGCCTGGGTATTGGTCAACTGTTGTGGATGGAAGTTTGGAGAAAATAATGGAAATAAACCACAATATTTGACTACCTTAACTTATCTTGGGTTATTAGTCCTCCAGGCTTATTATTATTATTATTATTATTATTAAAGGTATCGCAATGGGTATTTATCAGACTCCATCTTGGCTGCAGCTTCCTTCCCTCAACACAATTATTACTGAGTACTCCATCTCTTCCACTCCCTCCCTCTGTACACTATGTAAGTGTTCCCTCACTGTTACTCCCTCTACACTGCATCATATTCACAACTAATATCTCCATAAAGCACTACAAGCAAGCCACAATTATGTTGAAACTGAGAGACATGTCAAGTGTGTGAGTAATGTTAGCACTACACTCCCTCACGCTCTCTGGCTCTTACTCTCACTCTTTTGCACTCTCTAATGTTACCATAATGCAGTGTGTACTCACCTATTTGTACTCACCTATTTGTGGTTGCAGGGGTCGAGTGTGTTGAGGTATACTTGCTGGGTGTCTTGTGTGTTGAGGTATACCTGCTGGGTCTCGTGTGTGTTGAGGTATACATGCTGCGTCTCTTGTGTGTTGAGGTATACCTGCTGGGTCTCGTGTGTGTTGAGGTATACCTGCTGGGTGTCTTGTGTGTTGAGGTATACCTGCTGGGTCTCGTGTGTGCTGAGGTATACCTGCTGGGTCTCGTGTGTTGAGGTATACCTGCTGGGTCTCTTGTGTGTTGAGGTATACCTGCTGGGTGTCTTGTGTGTTGAGGTATACCTGCTGGGTCTCGTGTGTTGAGGTATACCTGCTGGGTGTCTTGTGTGTTGAGGTATACCTGCTGGGTGTCTTGTGTGTTGAGGTATACCTGCTGGGTGTCTTGTGTGTTGAGGTATACCTGCTGGGTCTCGTATGTTGAGGTATACCTGCTGCGTCTCTTGTATGTTGAGGTATACCTGCTGGGTGTCTTGTGTGTTGAGGTATACCTGCTGGGTCTCGTATGTTGAGGTATACCTGCTGCGTCTCTTGTATGTTGAGGTATACCTGCTGGGTGTCGTGTGTTGAGGTATACCTGCTGGGTCTCGTGTATGTTGAGGTATACCTGATGGGTCTCGTGTGTGTTGAGGTATACTTGCTGGGTGTCGTGTGTTGAGGTATACCTGCTGGGTCTCGTGTGTGTTGAAGTATACCTGCTGGGTCTCGTGTGTTGAGATACAACCACTGGGTCTCGTGTGCTCATGTGTCCAGGAGTCATAACAAAGACAACAATGGCAGTGAATATCAGAAGTGACCCACAAAAGAGCAATATATGCTAGATAATATAGTGGATAGTAACAGGATAAGATAATACCGAGATAAAGAATAACAAGATAGCAGATAACAGGATAATAGCTAATAAGAAAACAAAATAATTACAGATAGTTCCACTATGGTAGGAGAGTAAGCTCGCAAATAATTAACTTTATAATTATTATAGTCATGTTACGCTCTCTAAAACTCTCCACCAGCGAATTATTATTATTATTATTGTCGATATTATTATCCAAGTTAATTAGCTAGTAAAATATGTCAGAAATACCTCTGAAAGTTTTTTTTAAGGATGTGTATATAAAGATTCCAAGAAGATTGCGTCATTTATTTACGAGTCAAGTTATGACTGGACGACCATCCTGTATGTTTGTTTGTGTGATAAAACCCAACACTGTCTTCCACACACACAGTTATGTGTTTACTCACCCATTTGTGGTTGCAGGGGTCGAGCATAGCTCCTGGCCCAGCTTCTTCGCTGGCCATTACTAGGTCTACTCTCTCCCTGCTCCATGAGCTTTATCGTACCTCTTCTTAAAGTTATGTATGGATCCTGCCTCCACTACATCACTCTCTAGATTGTTCCACTTCCTGACAACTCTGTGACTGAAGAAATACTTCCTAACATCCCTGTGACTCATCTGAGTTTTCAGCTTCCAGTTGTGATCTCTTGTTGCTGTGTCACATCTCCTTAACATCCTGTTCCTATGCACCTTGTATACTCACCTAATTGTGGCTGCAGGGGTCGATTCACAGCTCCTGGCCCCGCATTTTCGCTGGTGTGTGTGTGTGTGTTGGTGGACCACCAACAGCAACAGCCTGCTTGAACAGGCAGTCAACAGAAAAACCTGAGCCCAGAACAGGTGGAGGAAGCAAAATTTCTAGAAGGTGATGGCAGGCAGATGACAAGTGCAATTAAACTAGACAGAAAGCTTGTGTGTACAAAGGAGGATATTTTATACTGAGCAGATGTAAAACTCAACACATAACTGAGTTACAGGACATTAACTTCTACACTAACATCGCCTCAGAGGATACGACTTATCAGTTCAGTGGGTTCCTGCACACTGTGGAATCACACAGTGAAGCAGATGATGACGTACAATAAGACTCTTGCAGCCAGGAGTGGTCCTAGTAGCTACCAGCGAAGAGGCGGGGCCCAGGAGCTGTGACTCGACCCCTGCAAGCAAGGTAATGCACACTACAACACTGACTACCACTGCCAACTCTGCATATAGCACGTAAAGGTACTCTGAAAGCTATCATCACAAAGCTTCACTGAAAAATGGAAAGTGTCATGCTCACTAGCACACTATGGTACCATAAAAAGTAACTAATTTCTGGCCCAACACTTAGGCATGATCTATTGTACTTCCAGGCGGGACCCGCCTACCTGTGACAGTGCCTTCAGCTGCTGCATCTCCTCCGACTCCAGTATATAAGCGTCCATCTTTCTGCTTATGCTTCAGCTTCATCAAGACTAAGATACAAGGTACTGAACACATACTGAGTGATTACTTACAATAAACCAACAAACCAGTAAACATTTCAACACACAATCACAAATTAGGGAAATGTTTAAGCCTACACTTTGACCACAAACTGATATTTAACTCACATCCAACACATCTAACAAAATTTCCAAAACTGAAAACATTAATAGCAATACAAACATTATTCTGTATTACTCTTCTCTATAATTATTTGTGCTTGTAGATCTACAACAGTAAATCATCTACAACAGTGTTACCCAATATATATTATTATAATTAGCCAGTTAAGTTCCAGACAATACACATCCATTATTTAAGTATAAGTATACAAGACATCTATATATACTAATATTCACTACACCACATTTACTAATATTCAGGGGTGTCACTAGCACGTTAAAGAGACCATACAATAAGTGTCAGGGGCCCGAGACTGTTCAACTGCCTCCCAGCATACATAAGGGGGATTACCAACAGACCCCTGGCAGTCTTCAAGCTGGCACTGGACAAGCACCTAAAGTCAGTTCCTGATCAGCCGGGCTGTGGCTCGTACGTTGGTTTGCGTGCAGCCAGCAGTAACAGCCTGGTTGATCAGGCTCTGATCCACCAGGAGGCCTGGTCACAGACCGGGCCGCGGGGGCGTTGACCCCCGGAACTCTCTCCAGGTAAACTCCAGGTAATATATAGAGGACACTCAGCCAGAGCCTGAGCTCAACACCTGCTGGACAACTGCAACACTAAACAACACATAGATACAACACAGGAAATAATTACCTCCAGGTATTTACATTGTCAGGAACTCCATGCAAATTAAGGCTCCTAAAATTTGGAACTCCCAGACGATGCAAAAAATTCCCCTTCAGCCATATATATATATATATATATATATATATATATATATATATATATATATATATATATATATAATATTCCTAGAGTTTTACCTGGAGAGAGTTCCGGGGGTCAACGCCCCCGCGGCCCGGTCTGTGACCAGGCCTCCTGGTGGATCAGAGCCTGATCAACCAGGCTGTTACTGCTGGCTGCACGCAAACCAACGTACGAGCCACAGCCCGGCTGATCAGGAACTGACTTTAGGTGCTTGTCCAGTGCCAGCTTGAAGACTGCCAGGGGTCTGTTGGTAATCCCCCTTATGTGTGCTGGGAGGCAGTTGAACAGTCTCGGGCCCCTGACACTTATTGTATGGTCTCTTAACGTGCTAGTGACACCCCTGCTTTTCATTGGGGGGATGTTGCATCTTGGACAATTTATGTTGAAAGTTGATTTATCATTAATAATCATATTGATCCAAATGATATTAATATTCAGAGTGAATGTTCACACTATGAATCTATTTCAACTTGCATTAATCTCAAAATATCATAAGTCATATACCAAATTGTTCAATTTTTTAAATGTCAAATATGGCAAGCAAGAATATTGCTATTTTAGTCTCATTGTCTAGTAATTATCAGGTAATTTTAAGTCTGACCAGAAGATTAGATAAAAATTTCGTTGTACCAGCCACAGCTACAACAAAATTATTGTAAATTGTTCTTCACAGAGTGTAAACCAGTGGAGTGATTTATGTAACTACTGTGACCACTGGAAATTAAACAAAATATAGGCAATGAAAGGTCATAGATATATATATAGGTATGAATGAGTCCTCGGGGAGACATGTCGAGTTTCTTTGTGTGAGAGGCAGGGGGAGGGGGGGGTGAGGGTGGGTGAGGGTGGGTGTGGGTGGGTGAGGGTGTAAGGGGGTGTGAGGGGGGGTGATGGTTCACAGTTATGTTCCGGTCTCTCCTTCACTCAACCCCTCAGGGAAGGTTCCTTGATGTTGGTGAGAGGCTCTTGATTTAGGGAATTGGATCTGTGCTCCAGTTCCCCGAATTAAGTCTGAATGCCTTCCACATCCTCCCCCCCAGGAGCTGTATAATCCTCCGGGTTTAGCGCTTCCCCCTTGATTATAATAATAATCCTTCACTCAACTTGGGGAGTCCAGGTTAATGTTAACAACTGTCAAAGACTCTTGTTAAATAGGCACTTGGCCTCTTTAGTACATAATGCAGACTGACCTGGGGGGAGGTAGTGGGTTATAAGGAACATTATCTTCCCATTAAGTTCATTTAGGCACAGGTACACATAGTCTAAATTATTTAGGATAATCAAAAAAAAAAGGGTCAGATATGGTGACTGGTTTCCATTGTGGTTAATAACCTATGAAAGACAATATTGATTATTTCAGTTAGGCTCCTAAACTCCTCCCCCAGGATGCCACCCACCAGCAACTCAGAAGTATTTATTTACTGTTAAATTTTGAGACATTTCCTTGTGAATCTCAGCCCCGCCCACAATTGAACCCGGATCCTTTCGGTTATGAGCTGTAGAATGGTAGCCAGGAGAGGCAGACTGGTGTAGGTTCCTCTGAAGGCCTTAATTTGACAGACACCTGTCTAATTTGTCCCTAACTAATATTTCATTCATACCCATTACATTACCAGACTTCCCCATTACCTACCTTCATGTACGTTCCCATTAACCCATTTATATTAAACCTCTCCCATCACCATCGCCCTTAGTTCCTCCCTTGCCCCCTGCCACCCTTCCCTCCCCAACTCCCTTTACTGGTCAATCAGCTGGTCCATATATGCAACAGGTGGCTACTGGTGACGTCACCTGATGACGTCACCAGCTGGCCCGCACTAAGACGGGCTTTATGAAGAATTTTTTTTTTTAATGGATTAATCTGGAGAGTTAATAACTCAGGATAACTTAAGACAGCCAGTGTGGCTTATTTCCCCTGTGGGTTTTGAAGTCCTTCCCCAGGATGCCACCCGAAATGCCCAGGGATGTTAAAAATGGTATAAAAATACCGACAAGACACATGTGCAACAGTTGGGTATCTTTATTGTTGAAACGTTTCGCCCACACAGTAGACTTCTTCAGTCAAATACAGAGGCAGCAGGTGTAAGCAGTCCATCAACTTTGGAGAAATAGTATTTGAGGTGGTCAGTCCCTCAGCTCCATGGAGCTAAACTCTTCTTCTGGCTGAGGGACTGACTACTTCAAATACTATTTCTCCAAAGTTGATGGACTGCTTACGACCTGCTGCCTCTGTATTTGACTGAAGAAGTCTACTGTGTGGGCAAAACGTTTTATTATTATTATTATTATTATTATTATAATCAAGGGGGAAGCGCTAAACCCGGAGGATTATACAGCGCCGGGGGGGGGGGGATGTGGAAGGCATTCAGGCTTAATTCAGGGAACTGGAGCACAGATCCAATTCCCTAAATCAAGAGCCCCTCATCAACATCAAGGAACCTTCCTTGAGGGGTCAAAACGTTTCAATAATAAAAATACCCAACTGTTGCACGTGTGTCTTATCACCCAGGGATCTATATACTGCTAGGTTAATAAGACCAGTAGCCAGCAAGTGTAAAGATGTGCTGTACGTCTGGCTCTACTCCGGGATAGAACCCGGGTCCTTTGGTTATGAGCTTAAAAACCGTCACTGAAGTATAACTCTTATTTTATCTGAGTACTGGCAACTGCTACCTACTATAATCTTTATTGTTTGTGTATATTATTATATTCACAAAAAAAAAAAACACTAAATCTTTATGGGGCATTCTGAGCCGAAATTTTCAAGAGTATTCAGTTGTACCTTCACACTTCAGCATCACACTGACCTTCACATCAGCACCACACTGACCTTCACACTTCAGCATCACACTGACCTTCACATCAGCACCACACTGACCTTCACACTTCAGCATCACACTGACCTTCACATCAGCACCACACTGACCTTCACACTTCAGCATCACACTGACCTTCACATCAGCATCACACTGACCTTCACATCAGCACCACACTGACCTTCACACTTCAGCATCACACTGACCTTCACATCAGCACCACACTGACCTTCACACTTCAGCATCACACTGACCTTCACATCAGCACCACATTGACCTTCACACTTCAGCATCACACTGACCTTCACATCAGTATCACACTGACCTTCACATCAGCATCACACTGACCTTCAGACATCAGCATCAGCAGATCACCTCTCCAAATATTTGTAAACTTCCTGATCTTATTGACCTCTTCACTTAATCTGAACTTAATATTTCAAGCAAATTAGGTTAAATAAGAAAAAAATAAAGAGGAATTTTTATTTTAGCTATTATGACCAGAACCGCACTTTATAACTGTATGTACCACAAATTAATTTGCAATCACTCCTCAGACTTTAACGAAGGAAACTAAATACATATTTTAAAATTATAAGTACAGTGGACCTCCGCTTTATGATCACCTCCCAATGCGACCAATTATGTAAGTGTATTTATGTAAGTGCGTTTGTACGTGTTCAGCTCCCAATGCGACCAATTATGTAAGTGTATTTATGTAAGTGCGTTTGTACGTGTTCACCTCCCAACGCGACCAATTATGTAAGTGTATTCATGTAAGTGCGTTTGTACGTGTATGTTTGGGGGTCTGAAATGGACTAATCTAATTCACAATATTCCTTATGGGAACAAATTCGGTCAGTACTGGCACCTGAACATACTTCTGGAATGAAAAAATATCATTAACCGGGGGTCCACTGTACTTAAATTTTAATTAGTATAAAGTTACTCTTGGTGACAAATTACTAAGAGTATAACTATGCACATTACAGTACATATATGTTGTACTATTATTGTTAAAACTATTTCTATGATATAAGCAATTTAGTTAATGTTTTTGTTCCTTGTTAAAGAAAAATATGAAAACTGTCAAGCTTACTCTTTAAAGTGAAAAAGAGAAAAATACCTATCATACAGCAGACCCTTATAAAACTTGTATTCAACAAGTTGTTTCTGTAGCACAACACAACTTTGACATAAGATAAGTTGGCTCAAAAGGGAAATAGAGAGGTTCACAATTTATGAACATCTTAGTTTTAATGATCACTTGGGAATGAAATCCTAAAGGCAATATAAAGAAAATTAATTATTTTGTATGTTAGTAAAGTTGTAAGTGGCATCCTGGGGATGGCAATATATCTTAGATTGCTACATCTTGAAGTGAGCTGAGGTAGGGAAACAGCTCTCCACATGTATGTTCAAGTGTAAAAAACCTCGTTGGAATGAAATTTTATATTTAAGGCAACAAAACACTGATATACTACTAGTGAATTTCTAGTAAAATGGGTTATTAACTTTTAAGACATTGTAAATTTGAAACACCCTCCTCAACCTGAAATGGGATCGTTAATAGCTTACACTAATATAGCGTCAACTGTACAAATCAATGCTGGATAGCACAGAGATGTTTTACACAATACTTTGACCAACCAACACAAGTGCTGTTATGCAGAGACTGCAGTAACATCCACTGATTAAACTTCACACCTGCCAAAGCGTGAAATACGGAGTGTTTGGATAATTCAGATTGCAAGTTTTTATAATAATTTTTAACATGTAATAGCTCTGGAATCTAACTTCTTTTTTTCTTGTAGGTTATTCACTATAACACATGTTTATAAAACATGGTAGGTTTCAGGAAGGAACTACTGTATGTATGTATATACAGGTCTGTGAACAAATACATAATATAGGATACTACACAAATGCACAAGGTAGGATACTATACAAATACATAATATAGGATACTACACAAATGCACGAGGTAGGATACTATACAAATACATAATGTACGATACTACACAAATGCACAAGGTAGGATACTACACACATACATAATGTAGGATACTACACAAATATTGTAAATACTATACCAAGTAGAATATACCAGGGGTCAAAGTTGGCTTGGTTCATCTCCTAGCAGCATGTGTCAGGGATGAAGTGGGACAAGCTTCATGTGCATGTACAGAGTAAGGTATAACGATAAAATGAGAGCATGTGTATGTTGATGGGAGGTAAACTGAACTAGAGTGAACTTATGTGAAGGGTCCACTGTAGTAGTAAAGCATATATACTGGCATGTGTCAGTGATATACTAAGTGTAAGTACAGAAAGCTTTTTATGTAATAGTAAGTGTAACTCAGTTGAAAGTCTGGCAATGTAAGGAGAGTTGGCCTATAATTATTATTATTATTATAATCAAAAAGAAGCGCTAAGCCAGTTGGCCTATAAAATATGCTTGAGAGAACACTACACTAAGTGTTTTATCTTTTATTCATGCTAGAAATACAGATATACTATACTGTGTATGAAAAAATATAATTGAAAAATAATAGAAATATCCTAAGGCTTTCATGCATTTACTAATGCTCCTTTGAAATTGCTCAGGTATTTCTACTGGTTTTCTCATTGTTGTATTTTTCTATTTTGTAGTCATACATTTTATAGTGATTTCTTACCATCCAGTGTATGTACCCCAGAGTTAAACAGTACCACTAAATCTAAGTCTCATTACAGAGGCAAATACTTAAAAATTTTTTTTATTCTGCTTTGTACTAAAGAAATAATGAAAATGATAACTACATACACTGGCTTTTAAGACAAAATATTTTGAACCAGTGACAAAACTAAATATACTTGTAGCATAAAGAACACAGACTTACATTATTACAAGTGAAACACAAGTAGTATACTAGTACCAATTATTACTATACAGTATTAAAAAATAAGTGCTAAACCCACCTGGGTTGTACTGCATACCAGTCCCTAACACACAACTCCTTTTCAAATTCACATGAAATACAAAGATGTAAATACAAGTATGGAAAATCATGCCTTAGATAATAAATATTAAAGTGGGATGCAGAGTTCAGTTAATGAGGTAAGCCTGCACATATTTACATTAAAGAGCAAGGGGTCACCTATCTGTAGCTTTAGGGGAAGAGCTAAACATACGACAGTCCTATCTCCAGTTGTATTTAGTCTATTGTAAAGATTTTGAAAGTTTTTAGAAGTAGCACTTACTATCTCTTCTTTAGCTCATTTCATTATTATTATTATAATCAAAAAGAAGCGCTAAGCCACAAGGACTATACAGAGCTCATTTCATTGATTTACCACTCTGTGAGAAAAATTCTAGTGTTCTCTCAGCAGTTTTTTTTTTTCCCTAATTTATAGGCGTGTCCTCTTGTTATGTTAATGTTCCATAAGTTTTGGGCTGGTAGCTGATGGAATCACACCCAGGCAGCACAGTACAGAAGGAATGTAACACACTCAAGAATATCTGTTACAGTTTAGATACCATAGCTTAGGGTTACAAATTACTGGGTCAAAACCTAAGTTAAAATTCATCATCATAGCAATTTAATACTTAATAACCAAGATTTTTGATCCGAAACGCAAAACTGAATGAGCTGTCACATTCTAACTTTTATTAAGAAATGTGCAGAAGCCAGACATAACACTGAAAGGTGAAGCAAGTAATAGAAGACAATTTGAAAAGCAGATGTTTTCATTTGATCTTTTTGCCTATGTGATTTATACAGTATACATAGTAAGTAGTAGTTAGTGTTTTTACATTACATAGATAATGAATATACTGGACAAACAAATCATATGTTTATATATATACAAATGCATGTGTACACATTTATACATATGGTGTGTGCATGTAATGGAACAATGCTTTAATAGCTACTTGGCAGCTTAATCTTCAAGCGTAACATTACGGAAGAGGTAACTCATGCTTTCATTGTTGTGGATGCGACGAATGGACTCTGCCAGGAGGATGCTGATGTCAACTGTTTTAATCTTATGACACTGCATCTTCTGAATCTCATGGGGCACTGTGTTGGTCACCACCACCTGGAGGGTAAGAGAAACAAGACAATGGAGGTCATGTCAAATCAATTTATTTCAAAAAGAAATAAATTTTAGTCTATCTTAAATCAGGAATTTTGATGACACCATATACATGTATAAACAATATAGTCTGAGGTTAGCACTCATATGTAACATCATAACATCATGTCAAGTCACATTATAAAGGTTTGGGCAATATGAAAATATTTTAGGTTATTACCTCCATTAAGGAAAGGTGTGGGGAGAAGTGAGGGATTAAAATATGCAGAATCAAATACAAAATGGAAGTTGGCACAGTTACTTTTTGCTGATGACACTGTGCTTTTGGGAGATTCCGAAGAGAAGTTGCAAAGGTTAGTGCATAAATTTGGGAGGTTGTGTAAGGGAAGCTGCAAGTGAACATAGATAAGAGCAAGGATATCAGACTGGAGGGAGGGAGTATGGAAGAAGTGGATGTGTTCAGATATTTGGGAGTGGATTTGTTGGTGAAAGGGTTAATGAAGGACAAGGTGACCCATAGAATTGATGAGGGAAGAAAGGTGGGTAGTGCACTGAGGTATCTGTGGAGACATAGAATGTTATCCATAGAGGCAACAAGGGTAATGTATGAAAGTACAGTGGACCCCCGCATAACGATCACCTCCGAATGCGACCAATTATGTAAGTGTATTTATGTAAGTGCGTTTGTACGTGTATGTTTGGGGGTCTGAAATGGACTAATCTACTTCACAATATTCCTTATGGGAACAAATTCGGTCAGTACTGGCACTTGAACATACTTCTGGAGTGAAAAAATATCGTTAACCGGGGGTCCACTGTATAGTGGTACCAACAACTCTTATATGGGTGTGAGGCATGGGCTGTGAATGTTGCAGCAAGGAGGTTGGAGGTAGTGGAGATTTGAAGAGGAGGTGCAGAGTTACTAAGAGTATTATCCAGAGAGCTGAGGAGGGATTGTTAAGGTAGTTTGGGCATTTAGAGAGGATGGAGCAAAATAGGATGACTTGGAGGGTGTATAAATCTTTAATGGAGGGAAGGTGTGGTAGGGGTTGCACAAATGCATGATTTTTCCCATATCTTCTATATTTATCAAGTGACACTAATGTATCTTGAAAAATGGTATTTTCTTAGTGTAAATTGAGGTGTAGCATTCCTCACTGTGACACCCTAAGCTGTACTTTACTTAGCTTAACTCTAAAACTGGCACTGGCTGTGACTACCTCATCAATGGGAGAATCATCAATAAGCCTTGGGGCATCAGATGAGAGCAAACCATGGGTAGCCATTACATATATCTTGTATGCCCCGCGGTCCTTCAACACCTCGGCCGCTGCCACAAAGGAAGCAACATCATCGATCATGTCATCCTGATAAGAAAAAAACAAGCTTATTCTCAACTTCATTTCTCTTTATCAAAAATGAAACATGCACACACTACTACTGTTTACACAGTATTAATTTTTTTTTTTTTTTAAGGATTGGGCAAGAAACAATAAAATCTAATTTTATGTGCTGAGCCAGTAACAATATACTCAGGATAAAAAAAAAAAAAAAACATATTGGGAAGTAATTTGAAATAGAATAAAGAAATACTATGATACACTCCGGTGTTTACATCAGCATGTCTACAAGAATTACCCATTCATTACAGTTAATTTTTTGGGTGTGAGTATCTACCAGAGTTGTTGACTACAACAACTGGTTAACATTACAATTAAAGTACTAGAACTTAATATCATTAAGTTTCGCCATGAGTAGCGAAACGTTTCCTTTAATAAATGTCCTGAGCTGTACATAAGTGTCTTTTTCCACATCTTGTCGGTATCACTATACCATTTCCTCAGAGACAAGTGGTGTTGAAGGAATGATAGAAGTTTCTTCACTGTAAGGGAGGGACTATCACAGGTACACAATCAAATACTGTCCCACATAATCCAATGATAAATAGCAGGAGACTAAGACAAGACTAACTATCACTATCAACTAGGAATGATGAAATGAGTCTAAAATATATTCCTTTATGAATAGGATTGCAGACTGCTAGAATGGGATCCATAAGGTAGTGGTGTCCCTCCCTCCAATAACTGGAAACTTAAAATTACTGTATTTAACAAACTAAACACTGATGCTGAGACACCACTAGCATAGTTATGTTGCTGTAACTACATTATTATTATTATAATCATAACTAAGTGCTAAACCCATAAAGGTCATACAGTGCTGCTTCTGTAACTATAAACATTGAAGACGAGACACGACCAGCATAACTTTTCCTGTCGCTACAAGCAATGGAGACAACACCACGAGCATAATTCTGTTCCTATGACTACAAACACTAAGGCTGGGACATCCTTTGTATAGTTCTATTCCTGTAACTACAAAACATAATATTTATACAAGTATAAACTTTAGAGAGGCATCCACTTACCACCATGATGGCAATGCGACCTCCAACATCACCAACCACATTAATGGGAGGTTTCTCCTTGGCAGCCAGGGCAGGTACTCCAACTCCAACATCCATGATACGAGAGTGCTCAACCAGTGGTGGCGAGTTGCGGCCATCAGCCTGCTCGTCCTCATTGGTTTTCTGCTCTCCATGAATGACTGCGATTCCTATGATCCAAAGGAGAGTCAGGGGCAGTAGTTAAGATTCATGGGAACCAATAGCAGTAGCTAAGGGAATCAGGAGCTAAAGTTAAGATCCAAGGGAAAGTCCAGAGCAGTACTGAAGTTATGATCAAAGGGAGTTAGCAGCAGTAGTTAAGATCTAAGGGAAACTCAGAAATGGTAGAGTGCTAGGGAGCAGCATGCAAGGTTGTTACAAGAGCAATACAGTCTGGAAGAGGAGGAGCAGTGGAGGTGGGAAGCAGAACTGATGCTCTCAGGGTGCAACACATGGGTAATTACCACACTCACAGGTAATAATGACAATAATATGCAGCAACAACAGTAATCATGACCAAAACAAACATGATACTGATAAAATATGGTGATAATAACTAAAGAATTCCCTGAAGAAATAATGTGTGTCAAGGTAGATGACAGTGGTGATGACATGGTAGTGTTAACAATAGGGATGATGATAGTGGTGATGTTCTTGGTGGTGTTAACCATGGAGTTGATGATAGTAATGATGTTAATAATTGTGATAAAATAATGATCATAATGACAAACATAAGTATGCACAACTTAGCCATAAGGAAGGTGATTTTATCAACAAGCCAGGATTCAAACTGCATGATCAATGAAGGCAGAAGGCATAACAATGTATACTTTCTGCAAGAGTAGTCATTCAGACAATTAAGGAGGCATATCAGCTTTCATTCATTTATCCCAGTGTCAACTAGTTGAGAACTATAATGTAGCTAAGTTATTGAACTGAAAGCCCAGTATTATAGGAGGTCACCAAGTTACAAACATCCACACTTACAAATGTGGGAGACGGCCGACTTGTTGAAAAAAAAAAAAAAAAAAAAAAATACAGCTGCTTGTGTGCAGTAGCAGTATTCAGATGTGAAACCTTTCACTATTGTCCTCTGCACTAACTGGTTTGTAAGTTTATACTGCACAAATGTAACTTATTTGTAAGTTGAAGCTCCAGAAATACAATTAATTTTTAAGTTTGTGAGTTGCTGTATAAGCTTACCTTAAGCACATGGCTTGTTGATAAGCAAACATATTACATGCACTAAGTGTTACTCTTCAGAGTTAATTAATGACTGAATGAATACTACATGGATAGCCATGGGAAACACATGCAACCCAGATTCATCTAAATACATGTCAGTCATCCCGTGTCTTTCAAGTAACAACGTCCTGATGTAAGCACCTAATGCTTGCCATTTTTGAGGAAATTATCAAAGGTTATATAAGTATATATGCACTCATTGTTCACTTTATTAGGTACATCTGTATACCTGCTCATTAATGCAAATATGTATCTAATCAGCCAATCACATGGTAGCACCTCAATGAGTAAAAGCATGCAGACATGGTCAAGAGCTTCAGTTGTTGTTGAGACTAAACATCAGAATGGGGAGGAAATGTGATCTAAGTGACTTTGACCGTAGAATGATTGTTGGTACCAGACGAGGAATTTTGAGTATCTCAGAAACTACATATCTCCTGTGATTTTCATGCACAACAGTGTCTAAGAGTTTACAGAGAATGGTATAAAAAACACAAAACCTCTACTGAGAGGCAGTTCTGTGTCAAAAATGCATTGTTAATGAGAAAACTCAGAGAAGAATGGCCAGACTGGTTCCACCTGACAGAAAGGTGACTCATTCAAATAACCTTACATTACAACAGTGATATACAGAAGAATGCCTCTGAATGCACAACACATCAAACCTTGTAGTGGATGGGATACAGCTGCAGAAGACCACACAGGGTTCTACCGGTCAGCTATAAACAGGAATTGAGGCTACAGTGAGCACAGGCTCACCAAAACCAGCCAGCTGAAGACTGGAAAAATGTCACCTGGTCTGATGAATAGTTTTTTTTGCTGCAACATGCAGCTGAAAAATCTGCAGCAACTGTGATGCTATCATGTGAGCATGGACCAAGATCTTAAGAGAATGTTTCCAGCACCTTGTTGAATCTATATCATGAGAAATTCAGGCAGTTATTGTGTCAATGGGAGGCTCTACCCAGTGCTAAAAGGATGTACCTAATAAAGTAGAAACTAAATGAGTGTATATACAACAAACAAATTATGAAGAATTATAGGATCACATACTTTATATCTTCTTCTTTCAACAAACTGGCTGTATCCCACCAAGGCAGGGTGGCCCAAAAAGAAAAACAAGTTTCTCTTCATAACTTTAGTAATGTATGCAGAAGGGGTTACTAGCCCTCTGCTCCCGGGATGTTAGTCGCCTCTTACAACACACATGGCTTACAGAGGAAGAATTCTGTTTCACCTTCCCATGGAGATAAGAGGAAATAAACAGGAACAAGAACTAGTAAGAAAATAGAAGAAACTCCAGAGGGGTGTGTATATATATGCTTGTACATGCAAGTGAAGTGTAACCTAAGTGTAAGTAGAAGTAGCAAGACATACCTGAAAACTAGCATGTTTTTCTTTCTTTCAACAAACCGGACATATCCCACCGAGGCGGGGTGGCCCAAAAAGAAAAACAAAAGTTTCTCTTTTTAAATTTAGTAATTTATACAGGAGAAGGGGTACTAGCCCCTTGCTCCTGGCATTTTAGTCGCCTCTTACAACACGCATAGCTTACGCAAGAAGAATTCTGTTCCATTTCCCCATGGAGATAAAAGGAAATAAACAAGAACAAGAACTAGTAAGAAAATAGAAGAAAACCCAGATGGGTGTGTGTATATATAGGCTTGTACATGTATGTAGTTCGGGTGAGATATAAGCGACTATTGGCAGAAAGGTGGGCTAGTGCAAAGATGAGTAGTGGGGGGGGTTGAAGAGGGTTGGAATAGTTTTAAAAATGCAGTATTAGAATGTGGGGCAGAAGTTTGTGGTTACAGGAGGGTGGGGGGAGGAGGAAAGAGAAGTGATTGGTGGAATGATGAAGTAAAAGGTGTGATAAAAGAGAAAAAGGTAGCTTATGAGAGGTTTTTATAAAGCAGAAGTGTTATAAGAAGAGCAGAGTATATGGAGAGTAAAAGAAAGGTGAAGAGGGTGGTGAGAGAGTGCAAAAGGAGAGCACATGATAGAGTGGGAGAGGCACTGTCAAGAAATTTTAATGAAAATAAGAAAAATTTTTGGAGTTAAACAAGTTAAGAAAGCCTAGGGAAAGTATGGATTTGTCAGTTAAAAACAGAGTAGGGGAGTTAGTAGATGGGGAGATGGAGGTACATGTATTAGGTAGATGGCGAGAATATTTTGAGGAACTTTTAAATGTTAAGGAAGAGAGAGAGGCGGTAATTTCATGCACTGGTCAGGGAGGTATACCATCTTTTAGGAGTGAAGAAGAGCAGAACGTAAATGTGGGGGAGGTACGTGAGGCATTACGGAGAATGAAAGGGGGTAAAGCAGCTGGAACTGATGGGATCATGACAGAAATGTTAAAAGCAGGGAGGGATATAGTGTTGGAGTGGTTGGTATTTTTGTTTAATAAATGTATGAAAGAGGGGAAGGTACCTAGGGATTGGCAGAGAGCATGTATAGTCCCTTTATATAAAGGGAAAGGGGACAAAAGAGATTGTAAAAATTATAGAGGAATAAGTTTACTGAGTATACCAGGAAAAGTGTACGGTAGGGTTATAATTGAAAGAATTAGAGGTAAGACAGAATGTAGGATTGCGGATGAGCAAGGAGGTTTCAGAGTGGGTAGGGGATGTGTAGATCAAGTGTTTACATTGAACCATATACATGTATGTGAACAGTATTTAGATAAAGGTAGGGAAGTTTTTATTGCATTTATGGATTTAGAAAAGGCATATGATAGAGTGGATAGAGGAGCAATGTGGCAGATGTTGCAAGTATATGGAATAGGTGGTAAGTTATTAAATGCTGTAAAGAGTTATGAGGATAGTGAGGCTCAGGTTAGGGTGTGTAGAAGAGAGGGAGACTACTTCCCAGTAAAAGTAGGTCTTAGACAGGGATGTGTAATGTCACCATGGTTGTTTAATATATTTATAGATGGGGTTGTAAAGGAAGTAAATGCTAGGGTGTTCGGGAGAGGGGTGGGATTAAATTTCGGGGAATCAAATTCAAAATGGGAATTAACACAGTTACTTTTTGCTGATGATACTGTGCTTATGGGAGGTTCTAAAGAAAAATTGCAAAGGTTAGTGGATGAGTTTGGGAATGTGTGTAAAGGTAGAAAGTTGAAAGTGAACATAGAAAAGAGTAAGGTGATGAGAGTATCAAATGATTTAGATAAAGAAAAATTGGATATCAAATTGGGGAGGAGGAGTATGGAAGAAGTGAATGTTTTCAGATACTGTACTTGGGAGTTGACGTGTCGGCGGATAGATTTATGAAGGATGAGGTTAATCACAGAATTGATGAGGAAAAAAAGGTGAGTGGTGCATTGAGGTATATGTGGAATCAAAAAACATTATCTATGGAGGCACAGAAGGGAATTTTGAAAGTATAGTAGTACCAACAGTCTTATATGGGTGTGAAGCTTGGGTGGTAAATGCAGCAGTGAGGAGACGGTTGGAGGCAGTGGAGATGTCCTGTTTAAGGGCAATGTGTGGTGTAAATATTATGCAGAAAATTCGGAGTGTGGAAATTAGGAAAAGGTGTAGAGTTAATAAAAGTATTAGTCAGAGGGCAGAAGAGGGGTTGTTGAGGTGGTTTGGTCATTTAGAGAGAATGGATCAAAGTAGAATGACATGGAAAGCATATAAATCTATAGGGGAAGGAAGGCGGGGTAGGGGTCGTCCTTGAAAGGGTTGGAGAGAGGGGGTAAAGGAGGTTTTGTGGGCGAGGGGCTTGGACTTCCAGCAAGCGTGGGTGAGCGTGTTAGATAGGAGTGAATGGAGACGAATGGTACTTGGGACCTGACGATCTGTTGGAGTGTGAGCAGGGTAATATTTAGTGAAGGGATTCAGGGAAACCGGTTATTTTCATATAGTCGGACTTGAGTCCTGGAAATGGGAAGTACAATGCCTGCACTTTAAAGGAG